CAAACATGGATTTGTATTGATCAAGGTGTCGGACAAATTCCTCAGCGAAAACCCATCTTGCTTCCTTATTCCATCGAGACTTGAGTGAGCGTGACCAATCGATTCCCCAACGTGTCGAAGAAGGACCATTCACTCCTACCCTGTAGCTCCCAGCTGTGGCAAGGGGCACACCCTCCGGAAATACAGCAATTGAGCTCTGGACCAGATAATGGTAGTGGAGTCGCAATGCTTTCTACGGGTAAATGTTAGTCAGTAAGAGGATGTATCAGTTTCGGTACTCACAGTGAAACCCCTTTGCGTAACTGTACGTGGTACTGAGATAAGCTTGCCTCTGTCTGGATCCTGTTGTACGCTATAATCGGGACCCATGGCCTGTTCGAGAGTAATTATACCTGCAAGTACTTGATGATACTTCTCATCTCCAATCTGATCTTTCTTGTTTGCCATGAATTCGATCGTTGGCCGCCTATCACGCCTAACCCTCTGGCTCATGAACCGGTGCCGAGGGTCTTTCATACCCTGCACACGAAGTTGAATTGGGACCGCATCAAAGGAGAGTGAATTGGGAAGGTTTGGTCGCTCTTCACTTGCTGAAGGGTAAGGGGCTGGGCGTTTATGAGCACCACGTCCTCTTCTCCCAGCGGCTCCAGCAGATGCTTCTGCTGTAGCATCTGGAGTTCGAGGTGCCATTGCGATTGGTGTGGTAGATTCAGGCTGGGGAGGGGCCAATGGTGCAGAGGGCGCTGGAGTACCTTCACGCATGGGATGATCAGGTTCATTTTGAGCATGATCCTGGTCTCCATGGACTGGGTGAGCAAGGTCAGGAGCTGTGGGGTTGCTTGGGTGCTCCGGAGGACTCGTAACTGGCGGCGCGGCCAATGGACCCGGGCGGTTAAAGCCATTGAAGAGAATATTCGCGTCTAAGCCACTGAGTTGATCCAAAGTAAGAACTTGCTGGTGGGGGCTATTATCTTGTTGTCGAGTTGTCAGGGCCATCAAAGCCCCGCTAACAGCACTCTGGAGGTCGGCCTGGAAGGTAATGAGCGTGATGGTGAACAAATCATAAGTGAAACATACAATTGTTAGAGTAGAGATAATTCTCTGGTTATCGTTTGTAGAAGACATTCTGGGGATGTTACGATGGGAAAGTTGCAAAGGGAAAGCTGCAAAGGAGCCGAAGCAAACCAGTCGCCTTTTTAAGTCCCAGGCTGCTCTGATAGATCGAAGATGAAAGAGACTCGTTGTGCAAACACGCATTTACGTGCATGCATGTCAATCTGTCTCGGAGGGGGGACTGCTCGTCGCATGATCCAGGGTCTCCCCAAAAATTTCCAAAAATTGCGCGGCATGCGTCTGCCTCATGTTTCGATGGAATAAGGAAGCAAGATGGGTTTTCGCTGAGGAATTTGTCCGACACCTTGATCAATACAAATCCATGTTTG